CTGCTAGCAAAGGGAAGGGTCATGCCCACACCTGCAGCCTTTCCCTGTTACCTTTGTAAAACGGGAAGACAAATGTTTTTCTTGCAGTTTGAGTGCCAGCAATCTTAACCAATCTGGCACCACCTTTGGGGAGGGGTGCAGCCAGTGTGGGTGTTTTTTACATGGTTTCTGTGCCCTCACTGGCCCACGTACACCCTAAAGGCAGCATCTGATTGGTGTAGATGGGTGCCACTCACAATCTGAAGTTTGCAAAAAAAACGTTTTCCCCATGGTGCAGTGGTCCTGCAGCCCTTTGTGTGCAGGACTGGTGGGGTGAGGGGAGGTAAAGGAGCTGCTGCTGCACCCCCAGGTTAAAAACAAAACCGGAGAGGAGAGGGGGCTGGCTGGCTTTGGTGGTACGTGGTGGAGGCTTTGGCAGTGGGCCCAAGGTCCCGCTGGAGTTTGGCACTGGCCCTCTTCCTGGGCAAGTTGGAAGAGGTCATTCTTAGCTCATCTCCTGTCTACTCCCTCAGTATTTTTAAGTCCTGCCAGTCTGTCTTGAGGTTTGAACAGAACAGTGTGCTCTTCTTTTGTTGAGAGAAATTGTTCCTGTCTTGTAGAACTTCTTCTATAGGGGGTGGATTTCCTTGCCATCAGCTGGACAGTCGAGATTCTTTTCCTGCACTGGTCTCTGCTCTTAAATTTCTGCAAGTACATGCAGAACACTTTCAAAGACCTTGATGCTGTAATGAAATGATGCAAGTATATAGTTCCCTCTTCAGACCATTCCCATATAAACTTATTAAAGCTACTTGGGCTTTTAAGCTGATATTGTTAGAGGGTTAGTTTTCTGTGAAGGGATGAAGTGCCATCCAGCATGCCTCTAACTTTACGTAACCTTCGTAGGATACATTTGATGTCAGCATCCCTTGCTTTTCCAGACACCTTGACCGAGACACCAGCCCCTTTTAGGGTTTCAGGGAGCACTGAGGCTCGTTGATAGCCTCCAGATTTTGTCATGATGCTCCCTTTTCTGGGAGCATTGCAGCACAGTTGGCCAAAATACAGGGAACATTTTGTGACTTGTTCCTGATGTGACTGTATAGAAACTTGGATTGCAGTCGGAGCCTGCAGCAGCAACAACTTTTAATCCCTAGATCAATATTAGCCATACTTTTGGTTCCTGGGGTACTTTTTATTATTATTAAACTAGAAAGCACATTTAACTCTATGTTCCAAGTAAGAGGAACAGTAATAAACTCAGTTAAGGTAAAGGCAGTGTGTAACCTAAAAATAGGATGATGTTTTAATATGGTGCTGAGGGAAAATGTTGCTTGCCCAAAAAAAAAAGGGTTTGCCCATGTGTTCTACATATCGGTGCTGTCAGTGGCTCCCCAAAACATTTGCCGACTTTGTGGTTGTGTTCATCCCCAAATGGAAGCTGTGGTTATTTAGGAGGGCATTTTAGAAACCCCATTCATGTGCTCCCAAAACAAGTCTTAGCTCACGTTCGAACTAGCTTTCCTGGCTGGGTGAGTTAGCAAGGCTGGAAAAATTCCAGATGCTCAGTTGCTGCTGGTAATTAGAAGCTTGGAATACGTTTCTTCATGACCTACACCAAGACCTCTGAACATGCATTTAAGTCAAAATAGAGGCATATCTGCTGTTGAAATGTATGATTGCATTTTGATGTAGGAGCACAAAATGTATGAAGTTATGCCAAATCTGGACAAAAATAATTTGGTAGTATATGTCGGTAGATGAGAAGAGACTTGGCTTAAACCTCATGTTTTGTTCTTTTTTGCCTTGGTGAAGACAGAAGCTGTTCAATAGGTTGCCCTGAATTAGAATAGCACTTTCTTTTGTCCACTAGCTGTGGTAAATATTCCCATGGTCATTTGTTTTCGGAGAAACGGGCTCCTTTGTGGTTAAAAATACTGTATCCTGTTTGCTGGGGTGTGATCTCATTGAAAGGCTATATGAAGCCTGGCTCAATTTCTTTCTCCAGTGCTGATTTTAGAAAACTAAAGCAAGCAAAATATGTGTCTTTTTTTCCAGAGCTTTAGGCAGTGTATGTCTTAGACACTCTGTCTTGATACAGAATGTAAAAGGAGATGTGAACTGGTAGGGGTAGGGAAGGAGTGTGGCAAAATTCTCTTTATGGTGGTGGTCTCTACCCCAGAAGAAACCTACCCCATCCTTCAATGTGAAGAACACCTAGGTATTTATCACTGGTTATGTCCTCCCTTACCTTCTGCTACCACTAGTAAACTGCATCTTTTTGTTTAAAATATGGCTTTTTTCCTAAGGAAATTGGGGAAAACACCATTAGGCACCAGACAAAACAGGCCAGAGGCACCAGGAAAAATAAAGATATATAGTGTTTTCTTAGAAAGAAAGCAAGAATGGTTCTTACTTACCACCACTGCTTCTTTTAAAATGGGTTTCTGTAGAGTTACCTGTGCACCCCTCCTGTGTTAGAAGCTCCAGTTCCTACCCCATACCAAACTTACTCCAGTTCCCCTAGCAAGCTCCACCTGTTTGATTAAAGGCTGAACAATTAAGGCTTTGACAGGGAACCTTCTCCCTGGCTGGGTTTCATTTCCACCTGGAGCCTTCAAGGCTGTTTGCTGGGCTCCTCCCGAAGCCTTTAGCTTGCTCTGGCTCAGTTCCTGGACCACCACTGTCCTTAGCATCAGCTGCCACTTGGGCTTCCACTGCCCACCAAAGGCTGCTCCTGGAGGCTACTTCTCTTTCAGCATCTCCCACACATGCTCTCAGCTGCAACTGCTCTTCTTCCTCACTTGGGCTTCCCAGCCTCTCCCGAAGACCATCTCCTGGTGACGCTTCTTCAGGGAGACTCCCCTGTGGGGATTCTCTGATGGACGCCGCCGGCAGATCCTGGTATTTGCTCCCGCCAGAATCCTGCAGGGCAAGCAACTCTGGGGAGGCCAGCAGTCCATCACTGTGCCTCTGCATAAGCCTCCAGCCAGTGGGTCTCTTTGGATATTCAGTGCTTCCTCAAGCAGAGGGTGTCAGTTTCAAGCCACCTTTCCATTTAGAAGGCCAGAAACGTGGATTCATTTGACCTTAGTGACCGTTGGTGTACTGGCTTTTCAAACAACTCCCATAAAAATCAGAGGCCGTCAATTATTGAAAGAAAACGTAGTTGTTAAACTTTGTACCCCAGGCCAACAGCGGCTTTGTGTGCTGAGGCACAACGCCCTCAGCTTCCTTGAGGCTTCTTAAGTATATCTGCACAATGCAGAAGGTTCTCTCAGGCTGAAGGTGACATGGGATGCTTTTGATGTCACTTCCCATCATCCTGGATATTTGACCAAGTTGGCTGGGTCTCGTGGGAGCTCTAGTGCAGCGCATCTGTATGGGTCTGAGCTGGCCAAGACTGGCATCAATGGGAAGCAGCAGGGACAAGCAGACCAACTCGGGTTCAGGTGAAACAGGTGCCTGCAGCTGCTTTCCTTGCGCAGTGCACAGCTGCTCATCAGCATCCTGTGACATCAGGTTTCTCTCGTGGAGCCAGCAGAGCTGAACGATCAGCCGCCAACTAGAAACCAGAGCAAATTTCACTGGAGCTAACAGAAAGGGGGCTGTGGGGGGTGCGAGCCAGGGAGGACAAGGGATTTCATCATCGCCATTGTTACTGTTGTCGTCGTCGTCATTATCCCTCCCACCTGCCAGAGCTCTCTGGGCAGTTTGCAACAGCACATAGAATTCAATATGAAATGTGGGCAGCTATAAAAATGTAGTAAAAGTTGCCATCCAACGTTTAAAAGCCCGAGTTCAAAGAAATGGCTCTTGGATGAGAGTTGATAGAACTCCATCAAGTGCAAGCACTGCTTCAGATGCCATAAGCAAAACAAAGCTGCTGCTGCCAAAGGTGGTGCTAACTGACTTGGGAAGAGACAGGAGTGGAGTGGGGAAGTGGCACAGGGTGACTGTGCGCCAGAATGCTTCCACGCACTTTCTTGGAGTGGACCGAAAGAGAAGCTAGCTATTTAGGTGGCCTTAGAAGAGGCCCGTGCAAGAGCTCAGCCACACTTTGCTGCTGGAAGCGGGGTGGGAAGCTCTCCATGCCACTGCTAAGGGTGGGCTCAGTGAGTGTGAGCCACTCCTGGTGATGGGTGCGTGGGACGTGTGGGACCTGCCACACGTCCAGACCTGCCTCCAGAAGTGGTGGAATCTCCTTGCCTCATGGGAGGTCCAGCCCTGCCTTTGAAGGAAGAGTGGAAGTGGTCAGCCACATAACGTTCAGGGAGTGGAGTCCACCCTCAAGAAGCAGCCATGAAATGCATACGAAAACATCTGAAGAACTGGCTGAGGTCTCCAGCTAAGCGAACTGCAGCTGGTAGTTTGGGGTGGCAACGGGAAGAGGAAAGCTGATTGCAACATTAAATCCCTGTGCACAGTGCTTGCAGAGGGGACCCCATAAATTGCAAAATGTGCTTAAATGAGGCGATCTCTTCTGGACTTGAGCACTTGGTTTTATATAGTTCAGGTCCAAAGGGGATACAGTAATACTCGTGTGGGTTTTGCTAGCATTGCTCTTCGCTGTGAATTTGTTATTCGTAACTGTAAATTGTGGCACGTGGACAGGAAAAAGTGTTGACCATTCCATAATCTGAAGAGGCCATGGGAGACACTGTGCTTCATTAGTGAAATCCTGCTGGCTTTTGTTTGATGTAGCTCTTGTAAGCTGTACAAACCTCCAGCCTGTCTAGGCAATATTGCTTTATGAAATAAGGCTTCTGGAAAAACAGCGTAAGGGGAACATTAAGAACTTGTAGCTGATGCTTTTGAATCAAAGCTGATCCCTTGGTGGCCGAGATAGCTGAGAAAAACCTGCATTTAACCTGTGGGATGCTAACCTTTGTAGACTGATGTGCAGGGCTGGATTAATAACGTATATCATTCTGAAATGATAGCATTTACCTGTTTGCATGGAAGGAAGATGGTTTATCCTGACCTTTTCTGAATCAATGTTATTTTCTTTCTTTTTCCAGCCGGACAATGAAATTTCATCAGACTGCAACCACGTAAGTGTATTGCTACCCCTGGGGTTTGATGCTTACTCCTTAGATGGCATTTATCACATTTGCTCTTGGCAAATGAGCGGTGTTCTGGAATCCAGGGGTGCTTCTTCCAGATAGGAAAATTTCCCTTTTTTGTATCTCTGCATGACTGCCTGTGTAGTCAGCTGGCGTTGTGATTTCCAGTATAGTGTCTCCTGGCTGCAGACTTGCCGTGGTGATGAACTTTATAGGACTATCATGATCTTTGAGTTACATAGGCACTGGGAAGCGCCTTGCTGGGAATGGAAAAGTCAGCCGGGCAGTATGCCCTGGTAACTAGTTGACACGCATGTTCACGGAAGCAATATGGCCAGGCCGCAAACGGCTTTGAGTCTGCGGGCACCTAGGATGTGACCAGCCAGCCACCATGTTGCTGCTGGAAGTCACACAGCAGCTTTTTAGCCGAAGAAACACTGGCGATACTGGAAGGTAAGTACGTTGCCCAAGAATCCAAATGATAGAGCTGGCATCTGAAGCCCAAAATACAAATCTACTCCTTGGAAGCCACTTTTCTCCTCTAGAAGAATGCCTGTTTCACCAAGAGCAAGCCTGTTAATATCTCCAGGTTACATCTGATAAAGTCTTTCAGTTAATTAACATATCCAAAACATTAGAAAGATCACAGCAAAATCCCTTTTCCTCAGTCCATTCCCCACCCAGCTTCCCACATGGACCCACTAGCACGCTGGCAACATTAAGGTGATGAGCAGGTGGAGCTGCTTGACTCTGTACCCACCTGCCCTGTGTAGAAATGAAATAAAATAGTAAATAAAATAAAAGCAAGAACAGTGTTGTAAGTAGAAGGGGCAGGAGAAGCCTGCACAGTTGGGTGGCCCCCCTACAGCTTGTTTACCAGGTTGCTGCGATGAAAAGAATGAAGCACTTAATCTTGCCTCTTTTTAATAGTAATGTTTCTTAACTTATTTTTATTTGTATATGGCATTTATAAAACAAATGTCTCTATGTGTTTTATACTACAAACACTAAGCTTTCTGAAGTGGCATAAGATGCATAATCAGCATATCTTGAAAGTGGTTGTATTTTTATATGTCTGTCTTAATATGTCACCCATCTGCCTGAAAAAGTGATTTATAACCATAAGGTGTCATTAAAAATACTTTTAAAAAGCATACTAAGAAACATGAGTCATTTAGTTCTGTGGTAACATTTTGGCATGGGGCTACCATGAGAGGTCTTTCGGGGCAGTAAAATTAGATCTGTGAATGTGACTTCAGAAGCCCAGATCACCCAATCCTTGGACTTTTTGTTTTTGGACTATTCATCACACGTTGATATAATGAGTTTTTGTTTAACTTCAGAAAAAGCTGAGGCTTGCTTTAGGGCCTTCTTTCCTAAAGCTGGTATTCTTAGAGTCTCCTAATAAAGACCAGTATATTGATACTGTATTTAATGTACAATATCTGAGTATATTTTGAAAATGGCCATGGTGGAATATAATGATTGGGTCATGCTGGCATTGATTTAAATTGAACACGAATCTGTTCAAGATCCCAAAAAGTCAGTGAAAGAATGGAGAGTTGAGGCTGAGTTGCTGCTTTCAGGCTGAATCAAAAGCCTGTTAGCAATACTGCTTCATGAAAGATGTTTATGGTACAAAAAAACTGAGCCTTATCTTGCTTTTTCTTGTCTAGCTGTTGTGGAACTACAAGTTAAACCTCACTACAGATCCAAAATTTGAATCAGTGGCTAGAGAGGTTTGCAAATCTACCATATCAGAGGTAAGACTGGATGGGATGGAGGAATCTTAATTTTATTCTTAGCATGTCAAGTTCTAAGTGCTTATTGAGATGAAGACACTGAATGCATTTTTTTAAAAAGTGTTATTAATTTGTTCTAAGGCTCTTTTCATGAGTCTCACATAAACTTCTGTTTCAGATTTAGGCCACCTTTGTCTTGCTGTCCGAGAAAAGTACATCAGAACTATAAGTAATAGTTGGAAACATGGCAATTGCTTTTGCCTGGGAAAGTTCCAGTTGCTGCTGCTTGAGGATGTTGACAGGATAGTAGGCTTGCTCTTCATGCTTGTTGATAACCTCTAATCAAGGGGCAATGACTAATTTGCGAATGCTTCGGTGCGAGAAAGTTGTCGTGACGGCCCTCAGTGAAGCAGCTGCAAGGACTCCGCTTTGGTCATTCTCCTCGGGCCTTGCCAAGTTTTTCACATTTTTCACAGGCATCGGCCACTATGAGCCAAGGTGTTTGAGTCAGAGGCACGGCATCGGATGCACGCAGATAACGCTGGTGTGGCAGGCGCATCACAGGCTGCCTTCAGTTCGGGAACTGAGGCAATCTTGGCAGTTTTATTGGGTAACTTTCCTGGAGATTAGTGCACAGGGAGTACTATGTGTTTGTTTTTCCTGAATCTTGCAGCGGCATCGGCGGTCACTTTTCATCGTGTTTGGGGACGTGTGCCGCAGCGGTGGGTGTGCCACATGTGGTCAGTCTCTCAGCTACCTGGAGGACTGGTTCTAGAAGGTGGCTCCACACCACACTGAGGAGGCGCGTTAGGCCGTGCTGCAGTGTCCTCTCTCGTATTTCACACCCTTCAGTGAAACTTCTGCAAGAGGCGGTTTGGGAGAAGCATCATCCATCCTTCCCTTGTTCATCTGATCACGAAGGAGCAAATCAGTGGCCTGGACTCAGTACTGGGCTGGAGCTAGACCGGTGCTCATTTCTCAGAACAGATAATGGCAGGATTAGTAGGCAGCACCCGTAACTGTTGAGGTGATGGCCAGCAGTTTCTAGGTGGGGTTCCTTACGGTGAATCTTGGCTTTTGCATCCAGTTCTGCTGATGGCCACCCAAGTGGCATCTGTGGATCAAAGTGCCTTTTACTAACTTTAGGTATGTCCCCAGGATATGTTTGCGCCATTGATTTCTAGCTCAGTTCAACATGTTGCCTCTGCCCTGGTTTCTGAAGGGCCACCTTCTCCTGTGCGAAGTGCAATGTTTTGAACCTTGGGTGACGACTCCTTAGGAACATAGATGGGGTGATAACCAGGAGCACAACATTTTCTGTAGTAGGGCTATGATATGCCCTTTGCTAGGCATGTTTGTGAGGTAAGGAATGGCTAATTTGCAGAAGCCTTTGCTTGTGTGTGCAAGAGAGAGGGAGGGAGAATGAATTATAGGTGATGCTTGAAGCTGATTTTAACTCTGTGATTATGCTTAGTTGATACTTTAGAAAGTACTAATTACTAGGGCTTTTAGCTTAAATTTTGAGCATGTGGCCTTAAAATAGGAAAGTTATATTTTTAACAACAGCTTCTTCCCATTACTTAAAACCTGCTTTGCAGCCATGTAGCTTTTAAGAAGATTCCCATAAGAAACAGATGCTGTTTAACATCGGTTTTTTAAAAAAATCATAATTAAAACCGCACAAAAAGAAAGCCAGTTTAGCAGCCCCCTTCTCAAATAAAAAGTAAAATAGCACAAGATGAGGCAGCAGATTAATAGAATATAGGATAAAGCAAAATTGGTCTTTGTGGGCAAGCTTGGGCAAATCAAGAGCAATTTGCCAGGCACCTGTGGCTTAACAATGAAAGCAACGGACCGACCTGCCTAAGGGAAACGTTCCTTGAGTAGGGCACCCCCGCCAAGAAGGCCCTTCGTCTGGTTGCTGCCTGCCTCACCACCTGGGAAAGGACCTGGGGGAAAATGTTAAAATGCAGCCAGGTTGAGGTGAGAGTTCGGCAGTCCTTCGTGTGCTCTGGTCTCAAGCTGCAGAGCTTCAGGATTGAAACCAGCTTCTTGACTGGGGCCTAGAAACTGGGAATCAGTGGTGTTCTTTCACATCCTGCCAGGCATCTCCTTGGCAGTAGTCCCTGGCCAATTGCACAGCTACTGGTGTTTCTAGAATGATGTGGCCTAGTATCTTTCCAAGGCAGCCCCGTCTGCCCCATTCTTCAGTAATCTAATCAGATTGTTACTAGGGTGTGGGCAAAACAAATGGCAAAATGGTTTACTGTGGAAAGTAAAGCCTGTGTCATCACACGAGGCAGGAGGAAAAGTTGCTCCCACTTGACCTCCAGAGAACTTTAGCAACTCATAAATGGCACAGACCTTTAAAACAACAAGGGAGAATCGAAGAAGGAAAAAAGAAAGAAACAAATTATGGGAATAGCGATGCTCGACTAACAGATAATTAAATCATCTATTGCAGTTGCAGGAGGGGCGAACCCAGTGTGTAGCTGAAAAACAGAACCTGCAAAGTAACTAGGTTGCCCTACAATTTTAGAAAAACCACTCATGTTGATACAGGCTTTTGATTGACTATACTTTCAGTAGACTGGACTGACGGTCCCTACAGTTCTAATCTAGAATTGCCAGTACTAATTAAATTGCTAATATTTTCAGTTTTCATTACTAGCATACTTTCTTAGCTTCAGTGTGTTTCAAGATTTAGGAAAAAGTCTTGAATTTTTTGTTCATTACTGTTTGTTTAAAAAGTAACTTTTAAGGAGGTATGCTAGCTTGATAACACGTTCTTGGGTAATTATGTAGCTTCTACTCATAGATTTTAGAGTAAAAAGTAGCAGAATACTATGTTTACTAGGACAGAATCAGTCTCTGATGCGTCCACGGTTGTTTGAATCATCACCAAAAGCGTTTGCCTTCAGGCCATTGGCACACTGTCGCTTTTTCCTGTAAAACAACACCCTTTGCTGTTGCTCCTCTGAGGCTTCGCTGAGCATTTTTCTTTTGAGAGCAAGTCATTGTGGCCTGCGGCTTTCCTTCCTTCCTTCATGTGCGGTGGCTAGACTTGAAAAGCTGTAAGGTAAGCAGAACCAGGGAGTGGGCCATCTCAGAAGAACAGCGACATCTGGTAGGATGTAGCTTACCAGTGATGCTCAGCATGTTATTCCTAGCCCGCGAGTCAGGAGCTTCCTGAGTTAGTTGGCAAGAGTGAAGCTGATGACACACGCGAGCTAAATGGGTAAAGGTTTCACTTTCAGATCAAAGGCTCAGACTGATGACCAGATGCCCCAGTTGAGATACAGTGGTAGCGGTCTGTGTGAATGGTGTTGCGGCATGCTTGCGCGTGCACTAGGATTTGTTTTTTTCACAGAGTAGGAACAGTGTTATGATTATTGTAACACACTCTATGTGGGGCTGCCCTTGAAGATTATCTGGACTTTGCATTTGGTTCAAAACAAAGCTACCAGACTGCTGACAGGAACCGGTGAATGTGAACACATCACACCTGTCTTCTATAAGCTACACTGCCTACCAATTGAAGTCCAGGCCCAATTTAAGGTGTTAACCATAACATATAAAGCCCTAAATGGTTTAGGGCCCGTCTCCTTCCATATGAGCCTGCCCGGACCCTCAGAACATCCACGGGGGGCCTCCACTGGGAGCCCTCGGTGAAAGAGGTGAGGCCGGCCTTCTCTGAGAATGCCCCCGTTATGGAACTTGTTCTTCAGAGAGGTGTGCCTAGTGCTGACGCTTTATCTTTTCTGGCGCCAGGCCCTAACCTTTTTATTCTCCTGGTTTTTGAATTAATAATGTATTTTAATTAGTCAGGGAGCACTTTGGAGTTTGTAACTAATTTATTTATTTGTTACATATATACCCCATCCTATCACTTCAAGTGCTCAGGACGGCTTGCAAGATATAAAAAATAAAATAAATATAAAACTACTATATAAAATATTAATTATTAAAACAATATAAAACACATCACTATAGAAAATGCGACTGTGAAAAAGGGAAAAATAGTTTATTGCTGTAATAATGATTTTAATATATATTTATATTTTTTTGTCTTTTTATGTAAACTATCTTGAGAGTTTATAATATGATAGTATATACTTTTTTTAAAATAAATAAAAATAAGCTTATGTAAGCTGACTGTGGCTCAGATCATGAGCTTCTTGTTACAAAATTTAGGCTTAAATTGAAGAAAGCAGGGGAAAGCACTAGGCCACTCAGGTATGACCTAAATCATATCCCTGATGAATATACAGTAGAGGTGACAAATAGATTTAAGGAATCAGATCTGATAGACTGAGTGCCTATGGATGGAGGTTCTCAACATTGTACAAGAGGTGGCAACTAAAACCATCCCAAAGAAAAAGAAATGCAAGAGAGCAAAATGGCTGTCTGAGGAAGCTTTTCAAATAGCAGAGGAAAGAAGGGAAGCGAAAGGCAAGGGAGAAAGAGAAAGATACACCCAATTGAATGCAGAATTCCAGTGGTGCTGGAGGAGACTCCTGCGAGTGCCTTGGACCGCAAGGCAATCAAACCGGTCTGTCCTAGAGGGAGATCAACCCTGACTGCTCTTGAGAAGGCCAGTGTGAGGAGGCGGGGGGGGGGGCTCACCCCTTTTCCTGGGGCCTTCCACAGAGCAGGGCCGAAGATAACAGGGCAAGGCTGGGAATCTGTGTGGGGAGAGCAACTCGCAAGAAGACAACAGCCAGAAGACGCGTGCGAGCGCACAGCTGTACGGGATTGCGGACGGAGGCAAGAACAGCTGGGTTGGGTGGAGTGGTGCAGGAGGAGGGCGGATAACGGAGGAGGGGGGTGAACGAGCGGGCGGAAGAGAGCTGAGACACACGTGTGGTTGGAGGAGAGCGGGCAAGGTGGTCGCTGGCAGGCGGGCCAGCACTCCGTTGGTTGCCATGGTGGCAGGAGGGAAGCGAGCCAGAGCAGGCCGGGCCAAGGCGCTGCGGGAAGCGAGCCGGTGAAAGTGCAAAGAGGCACTAAAGACCCCGATG